GCACTATGTGAGGTGTTGCTGTATATTTTCATTAATCTAATGATATTAATCTAGTAAATTTTACCCATTTCGCTAATATCTTTAACACACCTTGCTTAACTTAAGTAAGTTATCAATCATCAAATAACATTACCTGACATTCATATTCAATTTCAACTTGGATATGTGCATAACAACAAAGTTCTAATTATATTTTGTTGGTAAATTTGGTATTTTTACCTGAAACGTAGGAGATCATTAGTGAGCTTCCCACCTATTAAAAATAATAATACGTGACGAATCTGGACGGACGCCAGAACGTAAAACCATGTGTGTGTGTGTAAACTTGAAATTGTATAATTGCGAGATGGTTAATGAAATATTCTAAAAATACTTTCCCTTGCGTATTCGTGTCACAATAGAACATACAATGTTGTTGTTATTTTTTCTTTCATTCTTTAAATTTAATAATAGAATTACTGCGCAAAGCATTAAGTTCACATATAATTTGAAATCTCTATTTAAAACACAAGATTTTTTTATAGATCCTCGTATTTTCTAAATTTACCTATTCCTAATGATAACCCTCAGAAACAACCTTATTCATTATCCTCTGTTTCATGGTTTATGAATCAAAATATATATATAAACATTTAAAGATAGAAATACTTAACTACTTTTAATATCCTTAAAATATTCTTTGATACTAATATTTTAGTAAATTAATTATTTAGAAATTTTATACAATTTCTGATAATTTTAATTTAGGAAAAATTGCACTGAGTAACAAAGAGAATATTACGAAAAATAATTATAATATGATTCATAATAATTAAACAAATTTTCATGAGATTTTTGTTTAAATAAAAGTAAACAATTACGTATTATTGAGACAATCTAATGTTAAGTAAACGAAAGTGACCACAAATGTACGCAAATTGCCAAGAATTGTTACAAAATCAAGTAACCACGAAATACGTTTTAAACACTTTCTACGTATTTCTTTATATAAAAAAAGTGTAATTAAAAAAAAACATATATTACTGTAATTAATTGTTTAAATACATTTTAGAAGTACTAAGAATTCTACTCGTTAAAGTTACTTAAGATTTGTCATTCAAACTGTATATTTTTATATTATGTAACAATATAACATAAACAAATATAGTTAAATAAATGATATATTTTTTAGTCTTACGTCTCATAAAGATTGTAAGGTTTTATGTTGGCCCGCATGTATAGTAGTCATGGGCTTCATGATGCCCGCGTTCCACTTATTGGACAAGCCTGTTCTTAAGTCTTCGATTAGTATGGATTTAACCACAAATTAACATAGGTTTAATCCAATGTTAAAGTCATGGCTTTATAGTCTGAATTTCAGACTTAATATAATAAATATAATTTTTTAGAATAAAATGTATACACAAGCGTCATGAGCCGAATACGGCCCGCGTGCCATGCATTGGGCAAGTCTACTCTATACAGTAAAATGTCAATGTGTGCACTTTATTTTTAAGCAAGTATTTTTCATTAGTACGGTTTCAACAAATGCGGAACCAATTATCAACACTATGCGAATTATTGCTGTACAAGAATTAACTAACAAATTAAATTTAGTTTAATAAAACGTCAAGATCATGGCTATATAATCTAAATTACAGACGCACAATACTTTAAAATAATAATTATAGATGGCCAAATGCGGCCCGCGTTCACTGCATTGGACATGCCTGCTCTATACAATCAAATACAATCTCTATACAATCTTTTTGTATACATTTTTCAGGTCCTTGATTAGTACGGTTTCAGCAAATTATCAGAACTAAGGAAATAATTACTGTAGAAGAACTAATTAACAAATTAACTTAGGTTTAATGAATCGTTAAAATTATGGCTATATAATTTAAATAATGTTTTAATAAAAAACTAATAGAACAATACCTATCTGTATAATTCCATTCATATCGATACAGTTCAATCATCAATTAAGATTAAGATTAAAGATAATGAGGATTTAATGGTATGTTCCCTTATTGAGTCATTAAAATGCTATTGTCGTAAATATAACGTGCGTCGTGTAATTGAAAAATCGATTAACTCAATTAATTTATTATCATGAAGGCGGCGAAGCGATTTTCCATCCGAATACTTTCAATTAATTATTGAAATTTACTTTTAATCAATTTAAAACTTTCATATATCAAAGGTAACTCGCAAGGTCGTGAAATTCATGTTGCATTTCATACGTAATTTATATATATTACAATTTAATTACTTGTATGTATACTACGTGTGTTTTATTAACACATAAAACACAAGTCTTAACTAGATATAAATCTTAAGTAAGTATGTATATTTAATAACGGTATTGCATTATTATTATTATGTTTTTATTACATCATACTATAACCGCAATTTTTTGTGGACATCATTTAACTAAGTTAGTAAGGATTATTATTTTGTTAATACTATTAAATAAGGGCAGAACGACCTATGGTCAATAGCCCTTTGTAGAAATTAACTTTCTTGATTCATTGTTATTGTATGGAAATGTTAAATTATGATTTTTTTTTGTACTGTTGCAATTAATATTATTTGGTGAAACAAATAAATTTAATAAATTTGATTTATATTAAATATATCAAGAAAAAATATTTTTTCAGTTTTTCTAAGTATTTTTCAATCTGAATTCTACCTTAAGCCGCTTTAATTTATTATAATATATTAATTTTATAATTAATAACTTAAATTTAAGTTAGATTTGAGAAAAAAAAATCTAATTTTAATTAAATATTATAACACGTTTTTCTACAAGTTAATTTTGCAGATTTTCTGCGTATTTTTCATTCCAAATTCTACTTTCAACTATTTGAATTTATTATAATATGTTTGTTTTATAATTAGTATCTTAAATTTGAGTTAGATTTGAGAAAAATATAATTTGAAATCAATATTGTAACAGGTTTCTCTACAACTTGATTTTGCAGTTTTTCTGCGAATTTTTCATTAAAAATTCTACTTTCAACTGCTTTAATTTATTGTAAAATATTACTCTTATAACTATTTCATAATTATCAACGATTATATATATTTTTTACGATACACACGTAAAATATTTCATATAATATTTTTTTCTTTAAAGATTTAATCATGTACGTTTAATATATTTTTTTTAATTACGCAGTTATTTTCAAGGAAACCATTAAAACATGAAATTAATTAATGCTGTTTTTATGTGTTGTTATGTAAAATTTTATATTTCTGTTATGGCAAATATGTTAAAAAAGAAATAACAATATAAAAAATACACAGTTTCAATGAACCCATTGACACCGTTCGCAATATTTTTTGAAAATGTTCTATGGAAATAAATATTTAGTTATTTTTGCATTTTAATTTGAAATTAAATCAATTTGTATTATGATGCAACGACTTACAACTATTCTAATTTATAATCAATAAGTAAATCATGTTTTTGTAAATGCAAATAGATTTGATAATGCTGAAATAATAGCAGAAGTTGAACTGTATTTAATTGAGTTACAAACTTATATTGTATGTTTCAGAACTACAGGAGATTATGAGAAGTTAAAAACTGTCGGATTGTTAAAATAACAGTGAGAAAAAAGTTAGATAAATACATTTTATAAAGAAAAACAAACGTTATTCCAACTTCTAAGTTACAATTCTAAAAATTCTTCGTATAGCGCGAGTAATCAGTTCGTCCAATATCCCTGTTTGAAACCGGACTAATCAAGGAACTAAATACGTACAAAAGTATAGACTGTATAAAGTCAGTTTTCTAGAATATAATTTATTTTGTTCACAATTAAACATTCATTTTTTTTTAAATTTCAAACCGGAATAAGTGAAACCGCACTATATGCGGTATTTATATTATTTTGGCTTTAGATGCAGAAACGCCTCAGAAGAAACTTCGTAATATCATGTATACATTTTGTTACGTAAAATGTTAATTTATTTAAAATATAGTTCTTCATTTTCATTGACTTTTTTTAAAATAATTAATACATATTTTTTATATAAATATTTTTGCATGAAGAAAAACCTTTCAGAATTAATTCATGGAAACTCATTAATATTTATCGTGTAAATACTAACACCGGGAATTAATTGCACATAAATTAATTATGAAATAATAAATGTATCGACATTTCCAACTCAGCTGTGGTATTCCTAAGAAGTCTTTAGCAATGAGTATTTCCAATATGACAATATTTGTTATTTTATTTTCATAATATATTTATTTTGCAATTAATCAGATTTATGTAATATAATTGTTCAAAAATTGTCAATTATAACTGGAATTGTTTTTTTAACGTGTTGCGAGTATTACAATAGTTTCAGAAGTTTCCTATAATTAATAATTCAATTAGGGTTTGTCGGTTTTCTGAGAAAATTTATGTAATTCGAAAACTGTTTTTTTTTACAATAAAAAAATAGGTTTTTTACTTAAAATATAAAAAATAATGAATTATTTTAATTATTTACTTAAAACATAAAAAATGTTGACAAAAAATGTGTCTCGGAATTTATTATTTATTCTCACTTCTCATATTCGACTTTTCACTCAGTCCATTAGGCGACCACAGTTTTTTAAAAGTCGTTTTTTTGTATAAATCCAAAAATTTGTTTGAATCATTTAATTTTTAAGACAATCAATATGTTCCAAGTAATTTTATATGTAACACTTTAAAGTATTATTTTTTATTTGTATTTCATATTTGATAAAATTTAGTTTTTGTTTAAGAAAATATGATCGGTGTGCTTTGTGCGCATTACGTGACATTAGTAAATTTCGTGTCATGTTTCACGGGACGCGAGAATTACGATTTCTAAAATACCATGCTGTTTACCTCAACATTCTTTCCGTTTCTCGTGGCGAACAAAAATGTTGAGAACAACGAAGAATAAAAACAGAGGAGAAATGTAAAGAAAGAACAAAGCAAGAGAGAAGGGGATAATAAAGTGCAAAGCGAAGAAACGAAGATAATATTTACCTGGTGTGATAAAAGGGTAACAGGAATGTATGTCAAGGTGATGGTGGCATTGGTTGTCGTGTTCTGGCAAGGGTGGCGGGTATTCCTCTTCGGGTGACCTCTCAGATCCATAGCCTTGATCGCAGAGCACTGTCTGGTTATCGCTGAACTTCCAATGGAGAGGCGCACCATCGCCAAGAGGCGGTATCCTCTCAACCTGCAAACGAAAAAGTCACAGGTCAAAACCGGCCGCAACGACCCTCCACATCTTCGTGTCATCGCAACCGTTTGGTAGTAAGAGTTGGCCAACGCCGCCGCCTGCCGGGCCGCCGCGGCCTGTTTCCTGGATCTCCGGTTAGTAAACCACATACTCATGGGTCGTTGCGGCAGACATCGACCTGTTCCCAAGTAACACTCATCACCATCATCATCATCACGATCATCAACAACAACATCATTCCCCCTCAAATTTGAGCGGGCTGGTCAATTGGCATGCCAAGGATAAACACAAACATGCGGCCGTTGCTATACCAAACTCTAATCTAACTCGCACAGTGAGGGATGACGAGGCGGTGGTGGAGGAGGATAAGGGTGAGGACTACATTTACAGAGTAAACACCGTCTCTCTCTGGCTTACATCATTCAATGGGAGCTTCTCGTAGTCGTGGTTGTTGTTGCAGCTCTCATCCAAATAGCTGGGTAGGCTGCCGCAGTGCTGACCGTCCTCGGAGTTGGCGCCGCGACGCTTGCAGATGCTTCCACTGGATTGCGTCCGGCGACCCGATAGACCTTTGGACGAATGTCGGCTTACGTTGGATCCCATCTTCACATCCTTACCGGATGACTCGCGGCTTACTAGCCGCTGAACACCGCTCAAGCGTTCCTTCTTTTGGTCCTCCTTTCCCAAATCGACTCGAGCTGCAAATAAATAAAAAAAAGTTAGAAATTCCCACTCATTTTGGAAATTAATCCAATTAATAGAGTTCCCACAACATTCGAAAGTTCGATGAAAGTGAATTAAGCTCTCATCACACCATTTTAATATACATTTTTGTCGACCATTCTACATAGATTATTTACATTCACGTTCGCATAAATTGTCGATCATAATTATGTGAAGCTATAATTAGCAATATCGAAAAATTGCAAATTATAAATTTACTAAATAAACAATATCAAATTGCGTGTATTCTTCACAAAACTGTGAATTGAAGGTCTCATCATTCGATCTCTCCATTTTCATATTCATTTTTTAATACATCTTTTCTATTTCGGTCATTTTACATTCACTTTCGCATTAATGATAAATTGCAAAACATAATTAACTATTGTAAAGCTATAATTAGCAATATCGAATGATTGCAAATTTTCTTTATAATCTAACTAAACCAGAGTATTTAGAGCTTGAAGCATAGCTTTAGTGCCAACGAATCAGATAGAAATATTAAAGGTTGCATGCATTCTCTTTCGGTAACAATACCAGTAGTAAATTGCTTCCACTTTTTATATTATTTCGTTTTGTTGTTTGTTTTTTTTTTGGTAGTTGGAATGTTTCGTGGAATGTCTTCGTGTTATAATTAACGCCTTCAACAAGTTTAAATGCAAATTTTAAGTTACTTCTTATATTCACAATACCAAGTATGATCATTTTTTGCATAAAATTACATTTAAGTTGAAAGTATATTTATTTGCATAATATTGCCATTAAGAAATTTCTAATACTATCTATTGGCTACGAAGACATATGTTATTATCATATTATGATTATCATTAATGTATATATACATACATATTTTGTAACAACAATCAATAGACTGTTGTACTTAATAACATTTAATGGCAGCTCCAACTATCTTCATCTGGCAACTCATAAAAACATTCAAAATGTTTAATTTTAGAATTAAATAGAATTTCTTTAAATACATTTTATTAAAACAAAACATTTTATCATAGTTCCTTGTTAAATTAATCATTGGTAATTTAAAATCAAGTGACAAACTTTTTATTTGTAAATGTGATAGGTTACAGACCGACACATAATGTACGATTAAATATGTCTATTACATGTGCATACACAGCTTATTCTAATTACATAATGATAATATTATGTCATTAAATCAATAATAAATATATATATTATATAAACACACAAATTATAACTTTAATTGATATGCGACAGTTGATGACAGCTGATTATATATTCATTCGAAATAGTTAAAAAGTATTGATTAAAAGCTATTGTCACAAACACATTTCATAAATGATATCTGATAATTATTTCAGAAAGATTATCGAGTCACATCTGCTAATTGATAATTATTGATTAACACTCAAACAATAACTTTATTTTAATATAACAGATACATCATAAAAATAGTATAAAAATTAATATAATATACAGACATTTGCTTAATTAATAATTATTGATTGTCAACTCAAGTGACTTATTACAAATATTGAATAATTGTACCATTTTAAAAATAAATTTTCTTTGTTTTGTTTTCATGAATGTTGCTGTTCAATTGTTCGCACGAACATTGGACTTTGCTACAACAAAAAATGCGGAAGTAACAAATCTATAAATAGAAATGCCTATATTGAAGAAACAAACGTGATTGTATCCAACATTCCAATAAAAATGCAATTAGTGTGAAAATAAATGTATTTACTTGATAGTAGTTTTTATGTAAAACTTTTATCGACTAAGTTTCCTTGAACATGAGTATAATATAAAGATTTTTTGTATTGTGAAAAAGCATATTCATTCTTCTAAAATATTATTTAATTTAAAATTTTCACTTTATGATATTACACTTAAGGTTTGACAATTTTTAAATTCGGTTGTTTTACATAATTACATAAATTTCCTCATTTATGTAATTCGAAAACCGGGTTTTTCCAACTAAAAAAAGGGTTTTAACCGGTTATTAAATAAAAGATGACTGTGATGATGAAAAAGCGGCGAAGAAGAACAATACACAATAGCTTGCTTTGAAAAAAATCAAATCAAAAATCAATCAAAACCGGTTTAAAGTTGTTTTCGAAAACCGGTTTTTAAAAGTCGGTTGTTGTATAAACCCTAATTACACTAAGTCTTTTGATATGAAACATCTTGCGTTACAAAATTACTTGAAAAAATGCAATCCTTTGTAAATCACGAAGATTGTGACGGCAATATTTACACTTGTACACGTAAATAAAAAAAAATAGTGTTTTAAGCAAATGTTGGATGTTCTGTGGGAATGCGGCCGCTGATAAAACTGAGGGAAGAGAGGAGGGCGTTCATAGAAAGAAGTAAAATGGAGCAGAGCAAATGCAATGAGTACGGTGATGGCTACGTCGGCCTCGCGACTTTTATCCTCACAGGTATGTCGGGACGGATTTATGGGCCAGTGCTCAGGTGGAAGGCTCCTTTCTGTTATTTTCAAATGTAACTTTATTGCCGCTCTTATTTGATATTCGATGAATGCTTCGCTCACTCTTTGTACGTGCTTTTTGGATAAATAAAAAATAATCCCGACCAGACGCTGCACGACCAACCATGGCCTACTCCTCCACTTCCTCCACCAATCTAACCCAGATCTCTTTCACTATAGTTAACAGTTCTCGACAACAACAGCAGAAAGAGACACATTTGTTATACGAAAGGAATGCTCCGGTAAAAAAAGGAATTTATTCTTATACACCGCATTCCTTCCTTTATCCCAGAGTCCTTAAGAATGCTTTCGCATATTGAAAAATTATGAGGACATTTATTCATAACAATCAAAGAGTTTAAATCGCTACTGCACAAAGCGCATTGGCCTCGCGTGTCATAAGCAACTGTTAATTTATTGTCCACTTCTCTTTTAGACTGTTTCACATTTCTGAATGAATTATATCACATTTTTAAAATACTTTAGTGAAAAATAGGTGATATTTTAAATTAGCAGTGGAAATATTAAAATATTTTTTAACGCCGGAATTAATTCATTAAAATTTAATTTGTGTCATATAAAACTTGCATTTTAACTATCAATTACGTACTTATAACTCTTCTAGATATTACAAAAGGCATGAAATTACCATTATTTTTTATTAGATCTGGTATCGTCTATATTGGTCATTAGCCACTTGAAATATACTTTCAGCTAACGTAAAATACAATTGTAAATGTATTTTATTAGCTTCTATATCTTAATTCACTCATTTTGCATAATGGTATAGCTGCAGTGCAAGTTTTCAGTTGTTATGTATATGAGATGTCCTGTTTTGAATAGGGAAGTAGGGATTTTCAGAGGCGATTTTCGTATAATGGAACGAAGCAATAAACAAAAATCGCCAGATAAAAGAAGGATTTTGCGACCTTCGGTGGCTTATCTGCAAAATGGGTGGAGATAGCTCGAGGGTAATGGAGTTTCTACTGAGATTCAATTAACACCGAATATTCCGGCGAAACACTAATCGTTTTCACTTGAACCGAAAATGATTACTCTTAACTCAAATTATAAAGCAATTTTTATTAATCGATACAAAATCGCTTAGATTTTCTTAACTTTTAAAATTTGTTCTAAAATATTTAAACTAATTTGTTTAAAATAGCAAAATTTAACACTGAACGCATGTTTCAATAACTTTATAGTTGACTGAAAAGTTATAAATCAATTTTACTGATCTAATTTTAATAAACAATTTATTTAAAGTAGCAAAATTTGACACTCAGCGCACGTTTAAATAACTTTATAGTTGACGGAAAAGTGTTAGCAAAATAAATATGAGTGTCAAATCCTTGGAATTTGTTTAAAAATAACAAAAAAGTTGCTTTTTCATAAGAAATTTCGTTGAGTCAAATGGCTCCAGTATACATTTAAAACTGGATTAAAAAAATGATGTGAATTCAAGGAAGCATGCTAAACATAGGATCTCTGGCTTAAGATGAATCGGAAAATGTATTTCTTGGATGTATCAGAAATAGAAGTCCGACCCACATTTCCTCAAGTCCCGAAAAAAAACAAGAAGTAGAGAGCACAACCTGAATGTATAAACAAGACATCGTTCTTGGCCTCTTCCAAAAAAAGTGTACAATGAAGAAAAAGCAGGCATAAATAATTGATTCATTCATAAAACATAATTCAATTCCTCGTGAACGGAATGAAACGCCATATATAATAGAATTATTATTGAAACTGGAATTGATTGTAATAAATCCGTGCGGATGTAAAGGGAAAACTGTTGGATGAGTTTTTTTTTTCTTAATTCGATACAAAATGCGGCATTCGAGCTGAAATTTCGTTACACGACGTAAATAAAATTTACCGAGACTTTCAATTAATTTTCCGGATATAAAACGGCGAAGCGTAATTAGATTTCGAGGTTCGCAAAACGCGATATAGTAAACACGGTTATTTTGAATCTTTTTTTCCTTCATTTCATCCTCGTTTACTTTGATTAAAAAAACACTAAAACTTCTGACATTATAAATGAAAATACTAATAGCATTATGGAATATATGAAATTTCTTTATTTTTTTTAATTATTCCTCTTTTACGACTTACAAATTGTTTTCCTAATTATTTTTTTCATTTTCATTAATTAATCAAATATAGTTTACTATGTAAAAGCATTTTTTAATGCATCGAGACAAGATGGATCTTCAACGGATGTGAATGATCTTGAAGCATGGAAGAACTCATGAATATAGATCTAGTATAAATGGAAAAATAAGAGAAAGCTAAGGAGGAAGATATTTTAACTGAAACTACTGTTCGTTCTTTCACTATAAAATGCCTTTCAATTCATCACTTTGAGGTAATTGCAGCAATAACGTACATATTCCGGCTTCGATCAGTCCGAGTTCTATAGTGAAAAGTTCAAAACAAAATTAATTTTAATCTAACAAACTATTTAACACAGATATGTTCATAGATAAATGATCAGTGTCTTTACACTGTTAAATCTCTATTTATGCGGTTTATATTAAGTTCCTCGATTAGTCCGATTTCAAATAGTCCTGGCGAAATCGGACTATGCGAGGTATTTCAGTATACTTTAAATATTATTACAGTTACTAAAAGTTTAAAAAATATTCATGTTTATCAGTTACAATAAAGCATATATTTTATAATGTTTTTATTTATTTAATTTCATAATTATTTATCATGCAGTTAAATTATCAAAATCGTTATAAATAGTACAATATCACATTTTTCATGTACTTATAGATACAGTGTAATTGAGTTTGAAATGAAAATATATGAGTAATCAATGACAAAAAAAAAATATGTTCGGTTTTTTGTATAAACTCTCCAGTTTATTTGTCTTAATTCACGTATTCAAAATCACGTATTCAAATACATTTCCCATAACTTTCGTAATTACTATAAAATAATATGTGATAAAAACCGGCGGCGTTTGAAAGAAAATACTAGGATAACTTTACATTAGTTAAGTGTTTTTCTAATTCAGTGGAAACTTATCAAGCGCGTTTTGAAACTGTACTAAATAATACTTGACCGAATTCTTGAATGGATTAAATAAGAGTGGGACATTGAGTCATTACAGTTTTTTTTTGTTTTGAATGAAAACCGGTGAGTACTCATCCGATGGATTATATAAATCGACGAAAAAAAGAAACACATTACAGCAATATGCACGAACTCACGCTATGACCACTTACGTGATATTTCATTAAACGTAAAGTTATTCAATGATTTCTAATGCAATGATTGTAGAATTAATTTTATTTTTCAACGTTTGTTGCAGTATCGATGTAATTGAAATTAGATTAGATTAAAATTTAATGTACACTATATTAAATATAGTCCAGTTTGATAATTTCAAAACAATCTACATTTAAATTTAGCAAAATAAAAATTATTTATATATATTTGATCAATTTTTGGAAAGTCTCTATTTGTTCAGTTTATTTTCATGCACTTTTAAAGTGTCCAATTAGTCCGGTTTAGAAGAGTCCGGGTGGAACTGGGTAAACTAGATATAATTATTTTTTTGTTATTATTTCCAAAACACACCTATCGCTCGTTTTACACGGTTTTATAAAAAAAAATATAAAAATGCGATTCTTGCACAGTCAAGTCTCTACTTGTGCGGTTTGAGTTCCTTGATTAGTACGGTACAGTTTTAAATATATATATATCCGGCGGGACCGGATTATTCGAGGTATTGCTGTATACATTTTGAGGTTCAAGGAAATATTCTAATGTTTATGTCTTTAAATTGTATTACAGTCATTATAGTTTATGAATAACTTAATGACATGTTACAATGTTGCATATCTATTTTATAATTTAATTATTTGGAGATTTTTTTTTTTCAAAAAATCTAAAATCATTTTTATCAGTTAAATTATCAACATCTCTAAAAATAGTATAATATAAAATTGTTGATAGTAAATATAATGTAGGAAATTGAGTATAGAATAAAAATAAATCATTAAAAAAAAAGTTTTTTTACAAGGTTTAATAAAAATAAATGTAAAAAATAACCTATCTCAAGCGTTTCTTGCATACTTTTGGATTTACACGATTATACATTAAAAAAAGTTACAATTTCAATTTACACGTTTTTCTCAAGAAATCTTATAAATCAGTGTAATATAATTGTTAAGTCGTTTTTTTTTCAATCTGTAATACAAGCTTCAATATAATAAAGTTCTTTCAGTTACTTCAATATAGATACGAAGGAAGAGATAGTAAACATAAGTTTAATTTCAATTTTCTAGATAATATTTTGTAAGAAAAACGTCGTGTTATATTTATATAATATTCATGAAATATTTCAATTACAATGGTTTCAATTTGAAGTTCTATATGCAAATGTTTGATGATAACAATGTGCATCTTTTCAATATTTTATATCTATATTCATTTATATATGTATGTAATAATGAATAATAATAAAAATAT